TATCTATCTATCTATCTATCTATCTATCTATCTATCTATCTATCTATCTATCTATCTATCTATCTATCTATCCATTCATCTATTTATCTATAGTATTAATGTGATCTACAGATACGAAAGCAGCTTCGTGACGTGGAAGCCAAGGTCAAGGACCAAGAAGAAGAGCTGGATGAACAGGCTGGCACAATCCAGATGTTGGAGCAGGTATGTAAAAAGCGGTCTTCCTTACATTTATATTAGTTTCTTTTCAACAGGGTAAAAACAATTATAGCCTTGATTTGAAAATAACCTGCTGCTGATTGTGCACTTTAACATATCTCTGCTTTTCATTCTGTTGTGTTCAGGCAATTGATATTTCTCTGGCCCTTCGTATTTCCTTGTGCAGTTTGCTGCCAATATACCTAATTCTTTAAGGGACTTAGTGAAGATGTTTTAAAAAATCTCTCTCCTTTGTTCTTGAGCTAGTATTTAACTTGTAATTATTTCGTTGTTTATTGAAGACAGCAGAAATAAGAGATAAAAGGCTAAGTTCATTTAAGTTAAGTTAATCAGCTGATGATAATATTGTATATTTCATTGTTTAATTATTATAAGGTAAAAATGAACACTGCAGACTTTCGAGCAGAGCATGTAATTTGACCTGTGTTTCAGACCAAACTTCGACTGGAAATGGAAATGGAACGTTTGCGTCAAACCCACTCAAAGGAGATTGAGAGCAAAGATGATGAGGTGGACGAAATCAGACAGTCCTGTAACAAGAAGGTCAGGATGGTCTTTGCTGTTGTGATGAAACTAGTATGACAGAAGTTTTTTAATTCACTGCTGATTCAAGGAAAAACTCAATTATACAACTAATTAAATTGTTTGTACAAGTTTTTGCCTTGTAGACCACCAATATAAAAGGGGGAAAAAGTGATGCGCTAACACAATTGAATGATTTATATGCAACCTCAGTTGGTAATACAGCTGAGCTCTTCTGGACCACAAACACCTTATCACAACAGGTGTAGCCTCAGTAGACATTCCTTGGTAAGTGTACTAAAATCTATGCATTATTTTTTGCATACATAGCTGAAGCACATGGAGGTCCAGCTTGAAGAAGAGTATGATGAAAAGCAAAAGGTGCTGAAAGAGAAGAGAGACCTTGAGTCAAAGCTACTGTCAGCACAAAACAAGGTAACAATGTGTTATATAGTTCATGGCTGCAAGTAGGTTGCATTTTGCATGCAAGCTGTAAAACTTTTAATCTCATTACTTTTAATCTCATTACTTTTAATAATAAAGGCATTAGGTAAGTAAAGGCATTTAATCCAGATTAGAAGCTGCGTATCAGGAATTGAATTTGTATAAAAGTATGTCATCATCCAGCAAGACTTAAACTCAATATTTGGACCTGTACAATAATGAATGTGATAAATGTCCTTTTTGAGAAAGACCCCTTAACAGTGCAACGGTTTGATATTAAAAAGTAAAGACCCTTTGTGGCTGATTCTGTCTTATGATTCTGCCATCACATTATCAATAAGCACTGACTAAATATTATCTTTAATATTTTCTGTATAGTTGAACATGTCATTAATGTTGAATTTCTGACCATAAAAAGACCCCTACAAAATTGAACAAAATTCTCAATGAGGCTTGGAGTTGTTTAAGACAATGTTATATTCTTGCAGCAAGGAGATAAGTCAGAACTGTGTGGTACAGAGTTGTCTTAGGGAGTAATACTGAGGGCTGCTTAGAAAAGAGAGAATTTAGTTGTTTTGTTTTTTTATAAGTGGCAAGGTTATCCTTTAACACAGTCAGAAAAAGCCAGATGCCTACCAAACAATGTTCTTCTCTTTCAGTAAAATCTTTTGACTTCCTTTTTAAAAAAAATACATCATTTTTTTTTTTTTCAGTCATGGTGAAAAAGCTTTTTTTACATGAGGTATAATTTTTTGATGACTGGCCTATTTCAGCTCACGCGCTCAACTTTGAATGTACCGATCTCTTAGGTGAGAAGTAGTGACGTAGAGACTGAGAAGCGATTAAGGAAGGATCTAAAGAGAACCAAGGCTCTCTTTGCTGATGCCCAGATCATGTTGGATCACATTAAGAACAATGCCCCCAGCAAGAGAGAAATCGCTCAACTCAAAAATCAGGTACACCTATTTTGCATTTTAATGTGTTGTACAGTTTATACACTTGTTGAATACTAGGCTCAAGAAACAAACTGTGCTAAAAAACTTGTTTACGTTCAAAAGTCAACTGCCTCACAAAGGATCCACTGACACTACCCTTAAATGGAATTGAATTATTCATCTATCCATCCATTTTCTTCTGCTTATCTGAGTCGGGTCGTCGGGCCAGCAGCTGAAGTAGGGAACCCCAGACTTCCCAGCTCCTCTTGGGGGATCCCAAGAGACATAGTCCTTCCAGCGTGTCCTGGGCCTTCCCCAGGGACTCCTCCTGGTGGGATGTGCCTGGAACACTTCACAAGGGAGGTGTCCAGGAGTCTTCTGGCTCCTCTGAATGCAGGGGAGCAGCTGCTCTTTGAGCTTCGAGGCCCTCCCAGATGACCTAGCTTCTCACCCAATCCTCCAAGGGAGAGCCCAGCCACCCTATGGAGGAAACTCATTTTGGCCACTTGTTCCTGCAATTCTTTTGGTCACTACCCACAGCTCGTGACCATAGATGAGGGTGTGAACGTAGATCGACCAGCTTTGCATTTAGGCTCAGCTTTTTATTCACAGCCACAGACTGATGCAGAAATTGCATTATACCAGACGGCGCACCGATCCACTTGTCGATCTACCATTCTATCTTCCCCGATTCATGAAAAAGACTCTGAGATACATGTAAACTCTTCATTACCGAGTCAAAAGTCGTGAAAAAGATCGAGGAAACTCCAACTTCGAGGACAATCCATCCTTTTCCAGCTGAATCACCATTGTCTCAGTTTTGGAGGTGCTGATTCTGATTCGAGCTGCTTCACATTTAACTGCAAATCGCTCCAGCAAGAGTAGGAGATCCCAGCCTGATGAAGCCAACAGAACTACTTTATCTGCAAAAATGCTTAGGCCACCAAACCGGATACCTTCAGAATCTCAGCTGCACCTATACATTCTGTCCATAAAAGTTATGAACATAATCGGTGACAAAAGGCAGCCTTAGTGGATAGCAACACTCCCTGGAAAAGAGCTTACTGTGTGGACCAAACTTGGACCAAACAATGCGACCAAACCCTTGCACTGAAGCCGGTTGGCCGCCCAATACCTGTCAGATGCCTCCGGAGTACCACAAGCCAAAAAAGCCCAAAAAGACTCCCTCTTCAGCTTGATGTCATCCTTCAGTGCTAGTGTCCACCATCAAGTTCTGGACTTTCTCCCACGCCCATCATCAACAATTTTTGTCAACTATTATCGGATGTGCAGCCATGACTGACAATAGAGGCACAGAACATAGCCCACTTGGACTCATTGTCCTGCGCAATCATTATACTAAGAATTATATTTAATCTTTTGAAAAAGAAAAAGAGTAAATACGAGATATTTTTTGTAAGAGTTGTCTCAACGAATTTGTGTACTAACGATGGAATCTGTTTTGAAACGTTAAAAATGGGATTTTTTGGGGATCAGTATCAACAGTTTAGGGGACAGAAATGTGTGCAGGAGCACCACATGCACCAAGAGATTTTGCAATATTTTATCAGTAATTTCTAATTTTAGCAAATGCATACACAGTATTATGACTTAGGACCACTTCTGGACTAAGCAACAGGAAACAGTGCCCAACTCTAAATGGCGCTTCGGTAGCAAGCTTAGTTTCTCCAGTCTATGCAACCAATCGTCTAAAATACTCCAAAAAGTAATTATTTCCCCCGTGTTCATTTAAATGGCAGCTGAGGTGGGCAGACCAAGGAGACAGGTCGTGATGACAGTGAGGACTCCAATTCCAACTCTTCAAGTTCAGCCTCGGCAGTGCAGAATTGATTTCAGGCCTCCTCGTTTATTTACAACAAGTCACAAAATAAGAGGAGTCGTGGCCTGAAAAAAATTCAAGAGCTGCTCAGTGACCCTACGGTGTTGGTATTTCGTAGGGGCGTGACCTGCTGGATACCTGAGTGGTCAGATCCTGCTGTCAATTTGCCCCGGGTGAGGGGATCCAAAGAAAACATGGAAAGCAAGAACTTGAAAGTAACCAAGATTTACCATATAAAACAACAAAAGCATTGCAGTGATGGGTACAAAAACACAGAACTAAACTTTTTTGGGGGAAATAAAAATATTAAAACCAAAAATAACTTTAAAAAACACCAGAGACACTAGGGAAAGTCATTGAAACATTCTCTTTAAGGTCCATGATGTTTCAAGAACTCTATGAATGTGTATTTAGACAGAATAGAGAAATATTTCTTAGTATAAGAAAATATTTAAGATTTAAAAGTGTCAAGTTTCCATATCCACGCCCTAAGCCATAAACCTCAAATGACAATTGCATGAAATTTTACTGCAAAAGCCCCCATCTACGAGTAATACCTGGAAAACTGCCAGAAGCTCCAAGCCCTAAATTGTAAAAGTTCTACAAAGATGTCGGAGAAGCCATTCAACGCAAAGCATAATCAGATCTCCATCTGCCTCTGAGGTGATATTCTTGTAGTTGGTGTCCAGATAGATATTAAAATAAAATCTATTCCTTTGTTTTCCCTTCTCAAGTATAAGTCACTATTCCCATATATATTCCCTAATACCAAACTGAAATAATTATCATCATAGTGCCGAACATATTTTTCCATCTTACCATTACTCCAAGCTGTAACTGTTCATTACTGCCCAGTACTCGTTTAACTTCCCATTAAGTGCCATTACCCAAGTTTGTTCTTGTTCAAATTAGGGTTTATATTTCTTTTTATGGTTTGATACAGTCAGTAAACTATATATATATATATTAAATCGTGGTGAAATGTTTATTTATTCAAATCGTTTTTTTCAAACAAGAAATCAAGGGTTAGTCCAGACAAATATTTTCCTTCTACTCAAGACGGTGGTGTGGTCGCAGTGTAGGTTACAGCGGGCGGACCATGTGTGGAGTCTCTCCTCATAAGGCCTGGCCTGGGTTCGATTCTGACCCATGACCCTTTCCCGCAGGTCTCCCCTTCTCAATCTCTGCCCCCTTTCCTGTCAAGCTACTGTCATTAAAGGCCACTAGAACCAACAAAATCTTTTTTTTTAAAAGACGATGGTGCACCTTTTCCATTAAGGTTTATTTAGTTCATAGTAAAATGTTACAGTTATTGTTTCCCATAATGTGTTGGAGCCCACGACATAAATAGCTGCTCTCATTCATGGATCCAACAGAGTTATTGACATCGATAAATAACACATAACCCAGAAAGATCTTGTTCAGACTTTCATGCTCCCTTTAGGCAAAGAGCGGAAAGAAAGCTGATTTCTGCCCTGTCATGACTGAATTTAAAGTAGCTTCTGGGGACAGAAGGTACTTTAAATAGGATGTAAAGTAGCTTCTGTGTAATAGATAATTACACCTACTTTAAAGTACGTGTAATTACCTATGCACTTACCAATTAGAATGAGATGTTCTTGCAATTTAAAAAACAAAATGATGTTAGATGACTCTTATATATTTCATGTTATGCATTCTTATATTTTTCTTTCTGTGTCTGCTCCAGCTAGAGGAGTCTGAGTTAACCTGTGCTGCTGCAGTGAAAGCTCGGAAGTCCATGGAAGTGGAGATTGAAGATCTGCATGTTCAAATGGAGGAGATATCTAAAGCAAAACAGGCGGTTTGTACAGACCTGTACATAGTCTTCCCCAGCCTTTTTTCAGCATTTCTAACAAGCTTTTTTAAATGTCACAACAACATATAGCAGAAAACATATGGTGCATATTTAGGTCCAATTTATGGTTGTTAATCAAGCAGCATTCATCTTCTCTCATAGCAATAGATCTGTCAAAGCATTCTCAGGGTAATAGATACACAAGCTGTATTCGCCAGAGTTCATTCTAGATGTGGTTACTTCCTCATATTTCAACTTTCTTCTTACTTATTGTGTTGAAAGATATTGTCAATTTTTAAATACTGTAATTAGTCAACATTCTATATATTTATTTTTCCCCTTACAAAAATGTTCCCATGGTGATCTTTTTTTTCCAAATCTGGTCTGTCAAAGTGTGTGTCGAAGTTCTCCCACATAACTTGTTCTGTTAACCTTTTTTATCTTTGTGGAAGTGAAGTTTTACGTGTTAACTGCACAACTTAGTCTTGATATACCTCAATATTTTGCATCAACTAGTTACAAATATAAACTTGCTCAAGAGGCTTGTGAATTAGTGTGCTCTGCAAAGCACTCTTAAGAGACTGTCTATGAGTTAAGATTAAATCAGTTTTACATGTTCGTCTCATCTTATCAAATACTCTTAATAATATAAAAGCTACAAAATAACCTTTTTACTAAAGTTGATTGTGAAACACATTTTACATTAGTTGAACTTAATTTTTCTTACCTTTGATGTATACATCATATACAGAGATAAGTTCAATTTAAATATTGTTTCCCAAGTGTCTCACAGCAAGAGGGTGCTTGATTTAAGTCCTTGCTGGGGGGCCTTTCATTGTTGAGTCAGCATGTTCTCCCTGTTTGTGCATAGGTTGTCTCTTTGTACTCTGGCTCCATTTTTTGGACCAAAACATACATGTTAGGTTTATTTGAGACTCTAAACTGTCCTTGACAGATAAGTGAGTGTGTGCATGCAAGACTACATGTCTTTGTTATCTCTGTGTGGCCCTGGTATTGACTGACAACCTATCCAGTGTATACCCCGCCTCTTGCTGAATGATAGCTAGGATAGGTTCCAGGAGCTCCACAATTCTACTTGAAATAAGGTAGTATAGAAAATAGGTCATTTATATGTCAGAACTTTAAATAAAAAATTGTGCTTTTAATATTTAACTTAATTTTGAATAATAATGTGCTTGTCACTGACATTACCAAACCTACATTAAATTTAACATTACATTCATTCTCTAAGCAAACAAAGTAAACATAGATTGTTTTCATCTAAGCCATTTCCTACACTTAAGGTGAACAAAGAGTTTTATGTTCCCAATGAACTCAAGCTTGCCCCTACCATCCAAAAACATGCATGTTAGGTTTACTGAAGACCTGCGACCCTACCCATAGGTGGCTAGGATCCCTTTTTAATGTCCATGGCTGTAAAGAACTGATTTCAGGAGAAATAAAAGAAAGAAGGAGAATAAGGAGCATGCTGCTGTGGTGATGTGGTGGTTACCACCATCACCTCAGAGCAAAGGGGTTCTGGGTTTGAGGACCTTTCTGTGTGGAGTTTGCATCATCTCCTTTTGTCTGGTTGGTTGTCTCTGGGTTCTCCGGCTTCCTCCCACAGTCCAAAAACCTGCATGTTAGGTTAACTGGACATTCCAAATTGCCCTTAGGAGTGAGTGTGTGTTGTTGTTTTTCCTTGTGTGGCCCTGCGATGGACTGGCGAACCATCCAGGGTGTACCCCGCCTTTCGCCCATTGACTACTGGGATAGGCTTTAGTCCCCCCGTGGCCCAATTAGGGAATAAGTGGTTACAAAAATGGATGGATGGAGAATAAGGGGAGAAAGGATATAGAACCATAAAACAGACAAGTTGGATTAAATTCAAATATACAATGGCATTTAGATCATTCAGAGCATCTGTGAAAAAGATTTGTGTTTTCAAGTCAGAACCATTAGCACCCTTGGAGTGTATCCTTGTCCGGTGGACTAGCCGGGATGATAGTTCGACCTCCAAAGGCCATGGTTGTGAACTGGAAAAGACTAATAATTTCACAATACTACTTTCTAACTAATTTAATCCCTTCAGGATGAAACTATGATGGACATCATAATCATGTACATCAAAAGCAAGTGATCAGTTTAGTGGAGCATGGTGGTGTGGCTCCCTGAAAAGGAAGCCATGGAATGCAGTTTTCCTAACAGATGAATGACTTCAGCTGGGCAGGTCCCCAATAATTGCATCCACTTGAAATTCACTGATGAGGCACAATGTAGATTGGCAGCCAATATTTCATATGAACACACCCTAGATCTACAGAGGGGTTTTTTAAACGGTCAAACTACATACTAGGAGAAGGGTTTTTTTTTTTAGCTTAACACGTAAATGTATCTTTCTTGTAATTTTATGTGAAACATAAACACAAATGTAAGATGAATGCCAATAATCACTTTTTCCCTCCTTGGTGCTTTTTGTCTAAGTTCAGTCTAAGTCTTTTATTGTTATAACTGTGAAGATTTTATTTCTATTTACAAGACCCTACAATAAATTTATACCACTTATTAATGTTACGGTTTCTTTTTGCTTCTAGCTGGAGGAGCAGCTGAGTCGACTACTAAGAGAGAAAAATGACCTGCAGTCCTTGATGGAGGAGGACCAGGAAGACCTGAATGACCTGATGAAAAAACACAAAGCTGCTGTTTCCCAGGTTTCCTTCCTTTCCTGTCTAATTACATATAGCTTGACACATATTTGTGAAAATCTACCTTTGATAATTTAGGTATTTTTTAAGCAGTACTTGTAATGTTTTCATTGAAGTAGGCACAAAGATATGCTACGAGCAACAGGCAAAAGGTATGTGGTTATTTACAAGTAGATGTACAAAGAAACAGTAGTTGGGGAAAAAAGAGGTTTATGAATTGTTCAGGAGGCAGGTCCAAGGGATGAGAAAGGCATATGATATGTATGGCATTAGGAAAAATCCCAAAAGTTTATTTTACTGACTGGTGTGTCAGGAGTAAATAGATGAGAATATTATCATTTGCAATTCATTGGGTAATGGAAGAAGCAGTGGCAGTGCAGAGTGTAGTGCTGATCTAGCAGCGTGTGAACTTGGCAATCCTGAAACAGTCTTTTGAAAACAGAAATATGAGCGTTTGGACATTTTTCTTCAAAACTTTTGATATGAATCATTATAATAAGTCGTGAGTTTTTCTTTGGCCAGTGTTACCACTGAATGTGTCCAAGAATTTGGTGGAGAGACACGGGTGGAGATGACTAAATCAAGGTCACACTGACCAGCTCCACACAGAGATACCAAGAAATGTGAAAATAAAACAATCCCTATATATAAAGTAGTAGTAGTTGTAGTAGAGTAGTATTTGGTGAGTGATCTTCACCCCTCTAAATATAAAAGTGACTTTATATTATATTTATATTATATATGTATTATATATATGTATACTATTATTATTTTGTATTTATATTATATGCATATATATATTATATTATATTTATATTTATATACACACCGTCAACTGAGTAGAACATCAGATATTTCAAATATGTCAAACAGAAATTATATTTATTGGTATTTTTCGCTTCATTTCCAGTAACTAAATTTGTTTATGTTGGTGTGTGAAATTCTCAGCTTTTGGTTTTTATTTTAGTTTTAGTCTATGTCTACTCTGCATTGTTTGGGGGATCGTATAAAAAGTGAATTATCATTCAAACTTCCATCTAACTGAGTAGATAATTCAGTATTACCTACCTGTTGGAACAAAGTGACCTTGTTGATCTAACTTTTGATTTCAGTTGGCCCACGACATGGCTCAAATCAGTGATCTACAAGGCCAGCTAGAGGAGACCGTCAAAGAGAAGCAGGAGTTTCAAGAAAAGGTGAGATAGCCCACACGCTTAACTTACATTATCTATAATATAAAGCAGCTTACTTATAGTGCAGCATACATATATACATTTGTGATAAATTGGGAATAGGATATTTACTGTAATACCACACGATTTCTTGATGGGATGAAAATCTCTACAGCATTGGCTTTTGTGGCAATAGGAGAAGGACAATAAACTACCTAATGCAAACCGTATTTACAAAAATGGCTGATGTTTCTTTAAACAAACATTACCTTGCCACCATCCCCTCCAAAAACAGAAGATGTGATACATTTACAAATGATTTCAAATCAGACACGATTTTTAAAGAAAAATAGAGCAGCTTATAATGAAAGTGATTATGAAAATTACAAAAACAGATGCCTTACATTTTCAGTTTTAAAGCTGAAAGTCTAAAAAGTTTCTGTATTAATTTAACTAAAAGGTAGACGTTGCAGGAAATGTAACATAATATATATATATTCTTTTTAAGATGCAAACCCTTCAGAGCCAACTGGAGTTCCAGGAACAGTCCATGGTTGAAAAATCCCTTGTCAATCGTCAGGAAACCAAAATCCGCGAACTGGAGACAAAACTGGACTTTGAAAAGACACAGGTCAAACGCTTGGAGGTGAGACTACGTGCAAGAAAAAAATAGCTGCTCATAGGAGACATCTGTAAGCATTTGTTGGGAGAGTAAAATGTTATTGGAAAATCACAGAGCAACTACAAAACGGGGGTTGTTACTGCTCTGAAGGTCATACAGGCGACATAAGGTCAGAAAGTCTTCCAGTGATATGATAGCCATTTCTTTCACTTTTGCAGGTTCAGTTTAGTAGTTGATGTGCTTATTCTATGGCTTAATTTAGAGCTTCTGGTGAATATAATCTATAATCATATTCATTACGATCTGTACTTTTTGACATATTATGAAGCATACTGTATGTTAAAAATTAAGACATCCTTTTGTTGAAATAACATATATATTTTACGACTGAAATAACATATATATTTTACGACTCCCTTTTCAACCATTAGTTTGCATCTATCAATAAGAATATCTCTTTTATGAGATTTTCATTGTGCTTTGATAAAGCTTACATAAAGCTGCATGAGTGCAGGCATTATACCAAACTTGACTTGCAATTCTGCCCTCAAATACAATACAGACAAATAACTTCCATAAAATATTTGATTTTTCATATTTTCTCTCTTTTAAAAAGTGCTATTAGTGAGAACAAGAATAACATCTTCTTAAATGTTAGCTCACTCAGGATGTTGGATGGTCAATCATTAATCAAAATGTTTTTGTTTTTTCCCCACATTTCAAATAGACTAATCTTTGGACAAGAAACTGAATCTACACTGTCTCGTATTTTCACTTCTGATTTACTACCGATAAAACCATCTGCAATGTAAAAAGCAGTATGAAAACAACATTTTATTTTAATTAAGTCTTACTAGGGATGGCAGTAAGCCATGTTAATGAAAAGGGACTAGTAGTTTGAGAAAGGATTGATATTCAACCCCCTGATTTTATTTCTTCATACACTAACTATTTGCATTATCTATGTCTGAAATTATGCCATGGAGTCATGATCCATAAATTACAAAATCTAAAACATATTCTTTTCCTCCAGATTTTCCTCCCATACTAGGTTGACAAGAGTGAAATGTAATTCTATATTGGCTATATATAAACCTTTTGTCTTTCTTGCTGTGCAGAGCCTTGTATCTCGTCTAAAGGGGAATTTAGAGAAGCTGATGGAGGAACGAGACCAGCGGCTCAACAGTGAGAATCGTGAGAAGGAACAAAACAAACGTTTGCAGAGACAGATCCGAGAAGTCAAAGAAACATTGGCAGAATTGGCCAAAAAAGAAGCCGAGACAAGCCGCAAAAGACACGAATTAGTAAGTCTGAAAGACAGTAAAGAAATAGATCATTAACAATGATCTGCAAACATCAGGATAGTCACTTCAGACTATGCACTATTAATCTGTAATAAATCAGCAATACTACCTTTGATTCCGAATGCATGACAAGTTGATTGTGCTTTATGTTTATTAAAAGGAAATGGACATTGAAAGCTTGGAGTCAGCTAATCAGAGCCTGCAGGCAGATCTGAAGCTGACATTCAAAAGGATAGGTGACCTCCAAGCAGCCATTGAGGATGAGATGGAAAGTGACGATAATGAACTTCTAATCAATAGGTAAATACAGTTAAGCAAATCTACGTTCAGCCTCTTTCATATTGTCTATAAAAAGTTTTTGTTTAAAGAGTTTTTGATATGGTTATTTAGAAGGCAAGAAGTAATATTTTATTTAGCCAAATGACGAAAATCTTGAATGGAATACCCTCAACTTATAGTTGAGCAATATTCCAACTTCTAAATTTATAACAACATTTTTTATGACTTGTGAATCAGACAATGCCATTTATACCAACTGTCATGGAATAATGGATATTATTCAAATTCTTATTGATTGTCATTTAAATTAATCGGTAACTATTTTAACTGTGTTCATTGTGTGTTCATAGTACCAGCTTTGCAAATTTGCATGATAAGAAAAAAAAAAGTAATGACATGCAACGTCACAGTAGTGTTGTAGTTGTGGCCTCAGATCAACAGGGTTCCTGGTATCAGTTTCAACTAATATCTTTCTGTGTGATGGGTGGTACAGTGGCATGGTGGCTGGCACCATCAGCTCAAAGCAAGAGAGACCCTTGCAGGGTCTACATGGGTTCTCTCCAGGTACACCAGCTTGTTGCATAGCAAAGTGGATTCTGTCCAGGTACCCCAGCTTCTTCTGCATGTCGAAAATGCCCCTAGGAGTGAATGTGAATTTTTGTGGTTGTCTCTTCATGGCCCTATTATGGACTGGGGCGTTAAGACTCCAGCCCCCCACGACTAGGCAGTGTAGAAAATGGATGTATGATCTCTCTGTGTGGATTTTGCATCTTTTTCTTTTTCAAGTGTAGATTCTTCCTGGGTAGTCCAGTCATCCATAAAAAAATCATTAATTTAAAAAATTCACTCTTGGACGAACTACTTTCAGAGTGCATGGATTGTCCTGTGATGGATTGGCATCGTTTGCAGGATCTGTCCTCCTTTTTACCCGAGCGATGAACAGCAACAAGGTGTCTTAATTTTTGGTACTAGAAGACTAAAACTTTAGCTCTCTTATTGCAGTGAAATTTTATGTTTTAGTTTTGTCTTTTTACAGTGTTTTGCTACAGTATTTACACACACGTTTTCCCCATTTTTGTGACAGAATTGTTAATTAAAGTATTTTGGGATTTAGTTTAGTATACAATATACCAAAACATACAAGATATACAAGAGTATACCAAAACGGAAATATAAAAAATTGATCAAGTTTAAAAAAGAAGATAAAATTGTGTTTATACTGTATATATATAATACTCAATGCTTTGGTGTTATTAAATGACAATTTGAATGTCAAAATACTTAGTATCACTACAGTAATTCTCAGTGCTATCATGGTTTTTGCTAAGGGTACACCAACAATTACAACATTTAAGAGGCTCTTTGGATATAAATTCCCATCATGAGTCACATATATGGCAGCTTTAATGCACTTAAGATGAGTGTTCACCATGTTGCAATTGGCAAACCACTATCCATATACCTACTTGTAGTGCACAGCTTTGTTTTCTCTTTTAAAGAGCTGTTCATAAGATCCACATCCCAAACTTCCCAAGCTAGGGAAACCAACAAATTGCACAGAAACTTCTCTTTGTCCCACATCCCCAGACTGATAGAAGCAGCTTCTGCATTATCTGCCTTTGTTGTCTTATTTTTACCCTGTCCTGACCAGTAGCATGACAGCCAGAATGGTAATCTGAATACCATTCAGATTGTTGTGCTAAAAAAACGTGCTAAACAAACTTGCTTTTTCAATGGAAGCTTTATTGATATTGTGATCAATAAAAATATTACACATGTAAATAAATACTGAGCCTAGAGCCATAAGGATCCACTTCAGGAAGATAAACTGACAAACAGAAATTACTAAAAAAAGAGCTCCAATACTATGAAAACATAGCAAAACAAAGAAAAAAATGTATGGTATCTATTTGATCTTCCAGAAATAGAAGATTGAAAGGTTGCTGTGTATGGAAACATCCTCTGCTGAGCATGTTTGTTTAAAGGCACTAGTCAAGCTTGCATATGCTGTCTTTCATCCAAAATAACTGCCACAGTAACCCTTTTACTTCCACAGAATCACACCTATTTTGTCTAGCCAGAGACAATCACTGGGCTAAATCTAGAGCCGCAGACCCTGTGTGTTCACTAATGTTTCTTTAACATTAATTTCTTTCTCTTCACCAGGCTTTATGTTAATGCTGTTTTAGCTCACTTCATAGGCTCCCTTGCTGTTGCATCTTGCCTTTGCTCTACTCACTTATCTGACTTCTTGCCAGTCAGGGGCTTTCAGACACAGACTCTGAAGTGGAGGATTGTACAGACCCAGAGAATTCCTGCAAAGGTTTCACCAAGAAACTCTCTGATGACAGTAGTCTGAAATGCTCCAGGTCAGTACAAAAGCTGTAGCTATGACTATATGATTTCAAGTATTTATGCATTTTTTCCCATATGAAAAAAAAAGGTATTGCTATTATTTAATGTTTTAACTTAGAATATTTTTAAACTTAAGCATATTTTTAAACTTAAGCATTTTAAAAATGTTCCTTCTCACCATGCACAAGGACAGTGTTTGCAGTGATAATAGCTTTCATTGCTCTTAACTCATGAAGATTTAAATATTTTTTTCCGTTGCTTAGCTACATCGAACTTTAAAAAAAAAAAAAATGAGTAGATATCACTATAGACAAGTTACTAGTTCAATTAGTTGACAAATATACCTTTGTATTGTATTTGAGATCAAGACTAGCTGGGCCATTCTTGTAATTGAAACTGAGTGAAAAATGTGCCTATCACATTCCTTATCTCATGTGTGTATATAGTAAAAGAAATTTATATTTGTGAAATGTGGTGAAATCATTATATTTTCCCTAAAATAAGCTGTCAGTGTGGGTATGTCTACCTCACATGTATGCCTTCATACCTGTCTCTTAAACGAGGGCAGATGGGGCGATCAATTTATCAAATAAATCTTATTTGATAAATTGGCTTTAGTAGACAGTCTGAGTTCCTTCCTCCGTCTATCCCAATCTTGCCAAGGCAGCGGGTGTAAGCTAGACTTAGAAATTTTAATTCCAGCAGCTTTGCATAGGACAGAAGCAGCACACAGAGGGCAGAAAGCATTTGGTGCAAAAACTAAACTAAACTTAACTTTCACAATTTAAAATAGCAATAAGAGTAAAACTCTTCACAGAATATAGAAGTGAAAGTGACCATTGGTTTTAGGAGTTTGGCATTATGGTATTAAGAATAGAGAAAAAAATGAGACAACAATCATAGTGTGTAACTGACATTTGGGAATCTGCTTGGTTAACACATTAGGGATGCAACTCCAAGTGCCTTCAGTGAGAAGCAATCTGATCTTCGTCTGCAGATACTGGCCCAGACTTTAAGTCAAGCTTTGAGTCAAGTTTTGATGACTATATTATACATATCATACAGATGTTCCATGAGTGTGAAATAGCCTTAAAATAAGTCAAATTATTTGGCACAAAAAAATAATGTTTCAAATAGATACAGAGCAATTCCTTTAAAAAAGCCATGACAATAAGAAAAAAATATTGTGAAACGCTTATACTCGTACAAGCCAAAAAACAGTAAGTGTGTGTAGTAAAAAGCATGATGTAACCTAACCAACCATTTCAGTTCTCAATCAGTAAATTAGAAATTTAAATTTTATCTAATTTTAAGAGTTGCAAAGATAATTTGTAACTTTTAATGGACTGCTGATTCCTGAATATATATCAAGTTTTGCATGTTAATGTATTAGAATTACAAGATTACACTTTATTTTGCATGAGAGTACATGAGTATACAAGGGATCTCCCTGGAGATCAATAAAGTATATTCAATTCAATTCAATTCAGATACAAGTACTTTGTTGTTTTAACAGAGCTCATATGTTGCTATATTGTCTTGTTGTCTTATATTGTCTTATCTGCAACTGCTTAAGAGTCTTTTAGGGACTATCTCAGTAGGCAAGTTTGAATTAGTCTGACAAGATTTAGTCTTTCGAGGAAACCTAGTATTGAAATAAAAAATGTTTCTTTTTGGGCCTCCATTTAGCTCACGTATGGAGGCTCTCCTCCGGTGCAAGTGGCATGGTTTCCATTCCAGCCCATGGCCCTTGCCTGTCATATCACTGTTAATAAAAGCCAATGGAGCCAATAAACCTTTAAAAAAAGTTATTTCATGATAACATTAGCCTCTACTTTCCTGCTCCAGTAACCCTGGCCGAAGGCGTTATCTCTGTGACGGATCTGATGAAGACGGAAAGGAAGAAGAAACAGAGGAAGACGTGGCAACTCAAGCCCCATACCTCTCTAAATATTGATACAGCAGACATAAAAAAGACAATGATGATGAAAACAGGTCCAATGAAATCATGTCATACTGCTAACCGTCCATTGTCGTCCCTTGAAAATGCACCCACAGTCAGCTGTGTTGATTTCTTTAGCTTATTCAGCCAACTGTGTCTAAACCACAATTAGACACAGTTTATTTATAAATGTATAACAGTTGTATGTATAAATAATCTGATTTGACACTCATAGTAACTGTAAACCAAAGAGTTTGAGTTTGTAATAACAGATTTTTGGTTCACTCTTTGACTGTATTGGTCTTTTACTTACACATGGAGCACTGATTTGCTATACAACTATGTATTGCCTAAAAGCTTTTGTCAAAACTGCATGTGCAAAACATTTTCCACTTGAGACGAAATCTAAGCAAACCACCAGCTCCTATATTCTTTTTTTGGACAAGGCCCATTTTATGTATGTTTGAATGATTCCACATATGTGGTGCTTTATAAGCTACAACACTGTTAATTAAAAACATGTTAATGTCAACTTCTTGCCATAAATTTATCTGATTTTTTTTTAAGTTTACCATGACAAAATTGTATTTGTCTTACCAGATTTATTTGGAAAACAAAATGCCACGCCTATTTTATTTAGGGTATCTATCTATCTATCTATCTATCTATCTATCTATCTATCTATCTAT